CCCCCCCCCTTTCGGAATAAATAAACTTAAAAAAAAAAAAAAGACTATCCAGTCTAAGGAAAAAAAAAAAAAAGGACAAAAGAACCCCCCTTCCCAAAATTAACAAAATTAACAGAACCTCAGAGACCTACTGGATACCATCCAAGTGGATCAACAAAGGCATTATCGGAGTCCTATAAGGGAAGGAGAAAGGGGTAGAAGGAACATCTGAAGAAATAATGGCTAGAAACTTTCCAAACATGATGAAAAACATTGATCCACACACTAAAGCAGCTCACTGAACTCCATGAAGGATAAACTCAAAGAGATGCACACCTAAACACATCATAGTCAAATTGTTGAAAACTGAAAAGCAACAAAAGAAAAAGACACATTGTGTGTTCTTCTCATTAAAAATTAGGGAGGTCAGAAAGCAGTCGGCTGGCATATTCAAAGTGCTAAAGGAAGAGACTGCCAACCAGTAACTGCATCTAGCAAAACTACCCCCCCAAATAAGAGAGAAATTATTCCAAGATAAATAAAATAAGATAATTCATCACTAGTAGACGTACTTGTCCTACAAGAAACACCAAGGGAGTCCTTTAGGCTAAATACAAGGACACCAGACAGGAACTCAACCCACATAAATAAAGAAAGTAAACCAGTAAAGGTCATTACAAGGGTAAATATAAAAGACAGTATAAATACAGTTTTGCTTGCAATGCTTTTCTTTTATCTAATTAAAAAGATAACTGCTGGGGCGCCTGGGTGGCGCAGTCGGTTAAGCGTCCGACTTCAGGCAGGTCACGATCTCGCGGTCCGTGAGTTCGAGCCCCGCATCGGGCTCTGGGCTGATGGCTCAGAGCCTGGAGCCTGTTTCCGATTCTGTGTCTCCCTCTCTCTCTGCTCCTCCCCCGTTCATGCTCTGTCTCTCTCTGTCCCAAAAATAAATAAACGTTGGAAAAAAAAAAAAAAGATAACTGCCTAAAGTAAAACAATAAAGACATAATTTGTATGAAATAATAGTTAAAGAAGGGAGAAGGAATGAAGTTATATTGTAGCAGTTTTGCTATACTATTGAAAGTAAGTTGGCATTAATACAAACTAGATTGTTTTAAGACGTCAGTTGTAATCCCTGGGCAATCATTAAGAAAAAAAACTTTAAAAAGAGTAGCAAAAGATAAAAGGAATTAAAATAGTATGCTAGAAAAAGGTCTACTTAAACACAAAAGGAGGCAGTAATGAAGAGAAAGAGGAACTAAAATGACATAAGACATACAGAAAACAAATAGCAAAATGGCAGATATAAATGCTTCCTTATCAATAATTATATTAAATGGAAATGGACTAAGCACTCCAAGCAAAAGACAGAGATTGGTGGTATAAATAAACATGACCTAAGGATATGCTGACTACAAGATAACTACATACTTTTTTTTTTTTTAAAGTAGGCTTCACTCCCAGTGTGGGGCTTGAACTCACAGCCCTGAGATCAAGACCTGAGCTGAGATCAAGAGTCGGACACTTAACTGACTGAGCTGCCCAGATGACCCCATACATTTTTTTAAACTAAACTCTGCACCCAACGTGGGGCTCAAACTCACAACCCCGAGATCAAGAGTCACATGCTCTACAACGGAGACAACCAGGTGCCCTGAGACACACACACTTTAGATCCACACACACAAACAGTAAAAGGATAGAAAAAGGTATAACTTGTAAGCAGTACCTGAAAGAGAGCTAGAGTGCATATACCAATACCACTTAAAATAACTTTTAAGACAAAAATGATTACTAGAGACAAAAGATATTTTTTTTTTCAACGTTTTATTTTTATTTTGGGGATAGAGAGAGACAGAGCATGAACGGGGGAGGGGCAGAGAGAGAGGGAGACACAGAATTTGAAACAGGCTCCAGGCTCCGAGCCATCAGCCCAGAGCCCGACGCGGGGCTCGAACTCACGGAGCGCGAGATCGTGACCTGGCTGAAGTCGGACGCTTAACCGACTGCGCCACCCAGGCGCCCCGACAAAAGATATTTTTATAATGAGGGTCAATCCATCACAAAAACCTAACAATTGTAAACATATATTCCTAACAACAAAGCCCCCAAACACAAGCAAAAAAATGAAAAAACTGAAGAAATGGATAATCGGACTCCAATACCCACTTTCGATAAAAGATAGAATAAGTAGAATATCTATCAACAAGAAAATA